TGGAAAATTACGTAAGGACCTAAAAATTGGGGCAAATTTTGTATGTTTTTACACTTTTGCACCGTAATCTTTAGCGAACTGGCTCTCTTCAAGAAAGGTTGTTCAAGCAGCTAATATGTTATTTGAGATCAGCGCTTTTCAAACCCGTTTTAAATAAATATCATACAGATATAAATATAGTTCCACAGTCAGAAGTTGCCATTAAACTGGTATAATGTTCAAACTCAGGCCTTGAATAAATTTTTGCAAGTCAACCTTGATAAAGAGTTTTAAAGGTTGAATCAAGTGGTGGCTTCTTATGCTTTCACCGCCCTCTCAAATAATGTTTTATGTGTATAAAACGTTATAAACATGTTGTGGTTATAACAGTTGGTAGTGTTCATTTCGTACTTAAGAATGGCATTAGAAGACGTGTTCAATAAAATCTACTTGAATCCAACATCTGTGAGTGGACTGAGCTTGCGTCATCGTTTCGTAAAGTCCTTTTTTTCAGGTATCGTTCATGCACTCACCACAAAGACAAAATGCCACGTTGACAATCACCAATTACTCGAACGAAAATGTAATTTTCAAAATGAAGAGCACACATCCTCGTACATTCAAAATGAACCCCGTTTTTGGAATAGTAGAATCAAGGAAAGAGGTTAGAAATAAGTATGGCTTTTCGATAAATATGGAGCAGCAAGTCTAGGTTGACGTTCGTTTAACATTCAAAGGAATTCGTGGAGGAAAAACGCTTGAAAATGAAAGGTAGGGCTCATTATAGTTGTGGGCTGGAAAAAAGGAAATCAAATGCTTACATTTGTCAGCATTTCCTCTTTGGTTCTTAGCTCAACGTTGACTAAAAGTAGTGATTTTGTGAAAGCTCCTGGCTGCAACCTTTGGCTACCAGCGCTTCATTTTTCTCTCAACCTCACAGTGAATGGGATTGAGCACATTTGCCCCGTTCTCGCATAGCGAGAAGAGACAGTATCGCAATCGTTTGCAAGAAATAGATGAATCACAGTGTTGCGGCCTTCCACTAGGTCCGCTACCACAAGATCCCCTAGACAAAAGATAAACCATTGATCCGGAAAGTTCGTCATAATGTTCACGACATTGTGGACTAATGAGGAACCATGAGATCCTTATGAAATGTTATCTGAACTTCAGATCTTCAGGCACAGCTCATGTAGCGTAGCAAATAGCGTAAAGTCAACCTTATAGATGAACATTCATCCTATTGTAGGCGTTAAACACCTACCTATAAACACAATAATGAGAGTAAAAATTCTGTCACTAAAATGAACAACCGAAAAACAACTGTGCAGTCTGGTTGCCTTTTTTCTACTTCGAATACGTATTGCTCTAGCAACCGCT